ACTCACGTCTGCGCCGCGCGCAATGGCGTCGCTCAAGCTGCCCAACTCGAAGGACGATGCGGTGGTCAAGGCGCGCCTGGACAAGCTGCGACGCACCAAGTCCAACGCCAGCACCACACCGGGCGTGCTCTACATCGGCCGCCTGCCCAAGGGATTCTTCGAGAAGCAGATCAAGGCGTACTTTACGCAGTTCGGCGACGTGACGCGCGTGCGCGTCTCGCGCAACAAGAAGACGGGCGCCTCCAAGCACTACGCCTTTGTCGAGTTTGCCGACCGCGACGTGGGCCAGATCGTGCAGGAGACCATGCACAACTACCTCATCGACGGCAGGCTCCTCCAGGTCAAGAGCGTGCCCAAGGACAAGGTGCATCCCGAGCTCTGGGTCGGTGCCAACCGAAAGTTCAAGCGCGTCCCCACAGATAGGATCGAACGCGTGGTGAGGTCGCGCGAAAAGACCGACGAGCAACACAGGAGGACCTCGGAGAGGGTGTTGGCAAGACAGGAGCAGCGAAGAACAAAGCTCAAGGACATGGGGATCGACTACGACTTCCCAGGCTATGCCGACGACAAGCCGCAACCCAAGCGCAAGTCCAAGGCCACAGCTTGATTGCGCCGCATCGTGTATATCCCCGTTTCGTCTGTTTGTTTCTTGGTTGGCAAATCCCACGCACATGTTTTACGCATTCAGAGTGTCTATGCGAGTTAGGTGTCGACGAGGTCGTCGTGGCCAATATGTGTTTCGAAGGCCTCGGAGCTTCCCTGGGCATCGCCCGACTCTCCGTCGCCCCACCTCTGTTCGGCACGCTGGGGGCCCATGTACCGCTTGACGACCATCTCGACCATGCTTTCCCAGCTCATCTGCCCCTCGGCCCTGATGGCGTACCTCGGTTCTACGCCGTACGCCGTGTGCGCCACACTGATGAGCACGTCGGCCGTCAGACCCTTGACCAGCTGATGCGAGCTCCTGAACCTATGCAGCCTGTACACGGCGCCCAACCAGGGCACATCCGTATACGTCCTGAATGCCTCCTGTGGTGGGCGGTGTTTGTCCACACTGCGTGGGTCCGATAGCTCCATCCCCTCTAGCGCGGTCGACGACAGAAAAGCCCGTAGCGGCGTGGACCAGATATCCGACACTTCATCCGGAGACGCTCTGAGGCCCTTGAGCACCTTGGTGGGATTGCGCACGAGGAAGACGACTGGATGAACCAGCAGGCCGAGCTTGCTCAGGAACGGGTAGCCCGTGTGCACGTGCATCGCCGAGCGCGAGGGGAGCGCAATCTCTTCCACCGACTCGCGCAGCGCCGTCACCACCACATCCGCATCGGACGAGTCCACTTTTCCACCGGGTAGAGACGCTTGGCCCGGATGCGAGCGCAGATGGAGTGCACGCGTGGTCATGATGACGCGCAACTCGCCACTCGAGGCCTCTTGGTACAGCAGCGCCGCCACTGCTGCTTGCTTGCGCGTGGGCACATGCTGGAAGCTCGGCGCAGCAGGCGTGGCGATGAGCCGCCGAATGCACGCTGCATTCGGCGCCGAGAGCGAGTCGAGCCACTCGTGGCACTCGCCATTCGATGCCGTGTGCACCTCCATCTTGCCAGAATGTGATGGTGGTGCTGACCGAAGCGCCTTTTGCTGAGTGTTGTTGTCTTGCAGATTCCGCGTAAAAGTGGAGGCTGAAGCGATATGTCAAAACGCTCTTCCCCACCCCCTCCATCCCACTTGCTCGAGCAACTTCATCGGTTGGGACGCTCATGACATCTCAATACGTCACCGAGCCCCCGACCTCGGGGCGCATCGAGCTGGTCACCTCCAAAGGAGTTATCGACATCGAGCTCTTTGCGCGCGAGACGCCACGCGCCTGTCGCAACCTGCTAACTCTCGCACTCGAGGGCTTCTACGACCACCAGATCTTCCACCGTCTCATCCCTGGCTTCATCATCCAATCCGGCGACCCGTCCGGCACAGGCGACCATGGCGAGAGCATCTACGGCGAGCCGTTTCCCATCGAGCCGCACTCTCGGCTGCGCTTCAACCGCCGCGGTCTCCTCGCCATGGCTGCCACCGACCGCGCCAACGAGAGCCAGTTCTTCCTCACCCTCGATGCAACCCCGGAGCTCCAGGGCAAACATACGCTCATGGGCAGAGTGGTGGGGAATACCATCTACAACCTCGTCGAGCTGGCGCAGGTGGGCGAGATGGATGCACAACAGCCAGACAGGCCGCGCTATCCGCCCAAGCTCATCGAGGTGCGTGTGGTCGAGAACCCGTTTGACGATCTGCGACCGCGCACGACCAAAGCGCAGCGCAAGCAGCAAGAACAGATGAACAAAACAGACCAAGCGCCAAGCAAGACCAAGAAGAAGAAGAAGAACACGGCGCTGCTGTCGTTTGGAGACGAAGAGGACGCCGAGCAGCCTTTGAAAGGCCCCAAAAGCTCGCATGACCTTCTTGCCGATTCCAAGCTGGCCAAACCGCCAACCTCCAAATCGAAGTCATCCTCCAAATCGCAGTCGGCTTCAGCATCAAATGGCACTTCTTCTTCACACGACCTGCAACCACGGTCGGCACCTGCGGAAAGCGTCGAGGCAAGCGCTTTGCCATCGCATCGCCACGTGGCGGAATCGGGCAAGAGCTCGTCGTCGCGCGGCTCGATCCTGGCGCAGGAACGCGCAAAGTACGCCTCGGCGTCGCGCAAAGCCGATTCCTACGCCGCCCTCGTCGAGTTTCAATCGCGCCTTCGCTCCAAGCCCTCGCGTCAACCGCACGCGGCGCCCGACAAGCAGCTTGTTGCGGACGACGACGACGACGAGGGCGCGGGCGAGTACGGTTCCAGCGGCGACGACGATGACTGGCGTGCACACCGTCTCGATGCCGGAGGCAAACCACTCCAACCGCAAGCCGACCGTCTGGAAGACTACCAAGTGATAGACTCTCGCTCCTCCAAGCGTCCCGCTTCCCCACCCACCCCCTCCTCCTCCTCCTCCTCCTCCTCCTCACATCACCGCCGTCGGCGTCACTAAACTCACCCACACAAACGATGCCAGAAACAACAGCCATCCAAATTGCCAAGAACGAAAAAGATTTACAAGAGTGTGGACGCCTCGCTCTCAGAGCTCGTCGGGCGAAGGCGGGCGCGAGTAGGCGTTCGAGTACGGCACACTGCCGGCCTCGGAGCGTCCGTCCTCGGTGAGGTGCTCGTCAAAGTAGTGTGCGGCGGTCGACTTGGGCGTGCGCGGCGTCTGTGCCAGTCCATAGCTCGCTCCGGTCGAGTAGATCGTATACGCAATAAGACCCGTCCAGCCACACTGGTGCGAGGCACCCAGCCCTTTACCCGTGTCGCCGTGGAAGAACTCGTAAAAGTGCACCAGGTCGCGGAACTCGGGCGCATAGTCGAGCATGGGGATGCCGCCGTTGTTGGCCCTGCGGCCCTGGTCGTCGCGCAGGAAGATGCCGAGCAGACGGTGCGACAGCTCCTCGGCCACGTGGCCCAGATGCATGTAGTCGCCGCTGCCCGTCGGACACTCCACCTTGAAGCTGTCGCCGTAGTACTGGTAGAAGCGCTGGAGCGACTCGATGAGCAGGAAGTTGACGCAGATCCAGATCGGACCGCGCCAGTTGGAGTTGCCGCCAAACATGGGGCTGTGCGAGTCGCCGGGCCAGTAGCCCACGCCAAACTCCTCGCCGCCGACGTTGACGTGGAAGGGATTCTTCTGGTGGTCCTTGCTGAGCGAGCGCACGCCGTGCGGCGACAGGAACTCGTTCTCGTCCAGCATGCGCTTGAGGATGAGCTCCAGCCGCTCGCGGCTCACCATCGACAGCAGTCGTCGGTCGCCGCGTCCGCCCACCTGCATGTTGGCAATGTTGCGGTCCGCCATCTCGGGCCGGTTGTCCAGGAACCACTGCATGCGCTTCGCAAAGCTCGGGAACCGCTTCAGCGCCGACGGCTCGATCGTCAGCGTCGCATACAGCGGGATCAGACCCACCAGACTCTTGACCGGGATCACCTGGCTGTGGCCGGGGCCCCACTGGATGGCATCGTAATAGAAGCCGTCCTTGTCCGACCACAGGCTGATGCCCTCCTCGTCGTCGGCCTGATGGAACGACATGGCGTCCGAGATGAAGATAAAGTGCTCAAAGAACTTGGACGCAATGTCCTCGTACGTCGGATTGTGCTTGGCCAGCTCGAGCGCCATGTTGAGCATGTTGAGCGCATAGAACGCCATCCACGCCGTGCCGTCGGCCTGGCGCAGCGTGCCGCCCGTGGGCAGCGGCTCGGAGCGGTTGAAGGGTCCGATGTTGTCGAGGCCGAGGAAGCCGCCCTCAAACACGTTGGAGCCGCTCGAGTCCTTGCGGTTGACCCACCAGGTAAAGTTGATGAGCAGCTTCTGGAAGACGCGCTCCAAAAAGTCGAGGTCCTCGCGCCCAAACATCTTGCGCTCGATCTTGAACACGCGGAACGTCGCCCACGCATGCACGGGCGGATTGACGTCCGAAAAGTTCCACTCGTACGCCGGCAGCGCGCCGTCGGGCTTCATGTACCATTCGCGCGTGAAGAGGTCGAGCTGCTTCTTGGCAAACGCCGGGTCGACCATGGCGAGCGGGATGCAGTGGAAGGCGCTGTCCCACACGGCGCTGAACGGATACTCCCACTTGTCGGGCATCGAGAGGATGTCCTCCATGTGCAGATGGCGCCAGTCGTGGTTGCGGATGCGCTTGCGCTCCGGCGGCGGTGCCGGCTGGCCCGGGTCGCCGCGCAGCCACTCGGGCTGGATGAACATGTAGAACTGCTTGTTCCACAGCATGCCGGCGAGCGCCTGGCGCATGACGTTCTTCATGTCGTCCGACATGGGCCCGCTGATGAGCTTGGCGTAGAACTCGTCGGCCTCGGAGCGGCGCGACTCGACCGTGTTGTCAAACTGCTCGTCGTCGTCGATCGCCGCATCCTCCGACGGCGTTCGAGGCGTGAGCTTCATGCGCACCACGGCGCAGCCGCCAAACGGCGGCACCTGGCGGAAGACGTAGTGCGCGCCCGCCTTGGTACCCTTCTTCTGCGGGTTGACGTAGTCGCGCGGTGGCGTCGACTCGTCGGGGTCTTCAAAGTAGGTCTCCTCCTCCTCGACCTCCTCCTCGATGTCCACCACCTCGTACTCCTGCTCGCTCGTGGGGCCGGTGGAGCCAAACTGGTCCTCGGCGGCGGCAGCCTCGGGCTGAGCATCGGCCGAGGCGCCGTCGGCCTTGGGCGCAGCGTCGGTCTTGGCAGCCTCGTCGCGAGGGATGGGGCGGCGCTCCTGGCGCACCACGGTCTTCTTGATCTTGCGCGTGCGCTCGATCGCCTTGGGTCGGTCCTTCTCCATGCGGTGGGCGGGGACAATGTGGTCGTGGAAGGCGTCCTTGGCGTAGACGTTGCGGTTGTTGCCGTTGTAGAGACGCTCAAAGTTGGTCTCGTTCTCGGTGAAGAGGAGCTCGGGCACCACCTCTTCGTCCGAGATGGGCTCGGGCGCCTGGCCGCGCTTGGCGGGCGGAGCGCTGGGCGCCGGACTGGTGGAGCAGTAGAGGTGGTAGCGACCGAGCTCCGGATGGTCCGCCTGGATGACGTAGTCGCCGGTCTGCTTCATCTGGGGCTTGGCAGGCTCCTCCTTGGGCCAGAACCAGTAGTTGCGGAAGAGGAGCTGGGGCAGGATGTGGAGGTCGGCGGGCTCGGGGCCGCGGTTGTAGGCGCTGATGCGGATCGAGATGGCGTTCTCCTCGTCCTCGTCCTTGGCGTACTCGACAAAGACGTCCCAGTACTTGTCCTCGTCAAAGAGGTCGGTGTCGGTGACCTCGAACTCGGCGACGTCGCGGCTGCGGTTGCGCGACTCGCGCACAAAGAGCTCGTACGGGTACGACTCCTGCGGATACTTGTAGAGCATCTTCATGTAGCTGTGGGTGGGGGTGCTGTCGAGGTACCAGTAGAGCTCCTTGACGTCCTCGCCGTGGTTGCCCTCGTTGTTGGCGAGACCAAAGAGGCGCTCCTTGAGCATGCGGTCCTTGCCGTTCCAGAGCGCGAGGCTGAGGCCCATGCGGCAGTGGTTGTCCGAGAGACCCGCCAGGCCGTCCTCGCCCCATCGGTAGGTGCGGCTGCGGGCGGACTCGTGCGGGAAGTGGGACCAGGCGTCGCCGTTGGCCGAGTAGTCCTCGCGGACGGTGCCCCACTGGCGCTCGCTGAGGTAGGGGCCCCAACGCTTCCAGTGGCGCTTCTTGTCGGCATCCTCCTGCAGACGCTTGTCCTCGGCCGAGACCCAGTGGTGGCCGTGGTGGTGGCCACTGTGGCTGTGGCCGTGGCGCGCGTCGACGGCGTGGTTGAGGTTGGCGGTGGGGCCACGGCCGTGACCGATGTCGTGCTCGCTGCCAGAGGGGCGACGCGATCCGGCCGGGGTGGCCTCACCCATGGACGAGGGAGCGGCGCTGAACGACTTCCGGTGGTAGGTCTCGGGCCGAGCCGAGTAGTGTTTGGGGTTTGCGTACTTGGAGGCGTTGTCCGGGTGATACTCGGCACGGAACTGGTCGGCGGTGGTGCGCGAGTGGAAGGAGGACTTGTTGTTGAGGCCGCCGACGGGGGTGAGGTCGTCGCGGTCGGTGGGGCCGACACCGTTGGTCTCGATGTTGGTGTTGGTGCTGCCGTTGGTGGCGGCGCGGTTTTCGGACTTGAGCTGCTTCTTGGGGAGCTCGGCGGCGGGCTGCGCGGGTTCCTGCTGGTTTGCGGCTGGGATGTTGATGGTGAGCGGCTTGGAGGTCTCCATCTTGGGTGTAGTCTCGGCAGCGGCAGCGGGAGTGGCAGCGGCCTGGGCAGAAGCAGCAGGAGCAGCAGGAGAAGCGTCTACGGGCGTGGCCTTCTCAGCGGTGGGCGTGGCTGCCGAGGACTGGGGCTGCGTCGGGGTGGCCGCGTCCGTGTTGTCGCTCTTGGCGGGCGTGGGAGGAGGAGGCAGCTGCGACTGGGCCGTGGGCGTGGAAGGCTTGGAGGCAGTGCGCGGCGAGGGCGACGGGATAGCCGACTGCGTGTTGGGAGTGGCGGCGGTGGTGGTGGTGGTGGAGCTCTTGGAAGGAGTGGTGGGCGGCAGCGCCGACGACGAGGCGGGAGCGGGCGAGGAGGGTGCAGGACTGGGCGAGGCGCCTCGGTCGGAGCGTCCGAACGCCCTCGAGGCGGCCTTGCCCAGCGAAGCAGCGGGCGAGCTGGGGGTGGAGCTGGGAGGGTCGCCTTCGGAAGCGCCGCGTCCGTGGCTGGCCGACGACTTTGTGCGGCCGGAGCCAAACACCTTGCGCAGATGCGACGCCATGACTGCGCACGCCTGGATGCACGGTGAGCGTAAGAAGAAAAAAGGGACTCGAGGAACAAGGGCTCAGGAAGGGGGAAAGACAAAGGAAAAGGGGGGAGGAAGATCAAGAGAAGCGGGTGGTGGAAGAAAGATGACAAGGCCGATCCGAGCGCGCCGGAGGCAGTAGTATGCACCGACTGCCAGCCACCGATGGGCGCGGAGGGCCTGGCTCGCTTTCTCGCTTCCTCGCTTTCTCGCTTTCTCGCTTTCGTTGGACAAAGAGATCCGCGCGCTACAGCCATCGCCCAAGCGAGCGAGCCCTTTTCCGCACACCAGGGTCTGTGGCTGCCTCGCGTTGCTTGCTTGGCAATCCACACACGAGCACCCTCACGATCATGGCCGGTCAACGCTGCATGGCACTGCCATCTGCCATCTGCCATCATCAGCAGCATCGTCACCAAGCAGGGGCTCATTACGCTGACTCAACGGCGAATTCGTGGCTGGCCCAGGCGGCGCAAAGCAGCATCGGATCGACGTTGGCAGCGCTTCCGGCCAGGAAGGATTGGCGGGCAGCAGAGCAGCCGAGCAGCCGAGCAGCAACGAAGCAGCTGAGCATCGGAGCAGCCGCGGCGAGAAGAAAACGTTCACACAGACGCGGCGAGATCGATGGGGACGCCGTCGCGGGACGACCGAGGCTTCAAACGATGGGAAAGCAGATGGGAAAGCAGAGCGGCGCTGCGCTCGGGCCCTCGCTTTTCCCCCCGCGCTGCTCTTTCTCTGTGCGCATCGCGGCTCTGCTGCACGTATCTGCGTCCAAGAGGAAAAAAAACATCCAACCAAAATCGACGGAATCGACGGATGCGACCGGCAGACCCACACACACACACA